AAAAAAAAAAAAAAAAAAAGATTCAAATTTTGGTAAAAATATAAAATGATATGAAGAAGTTACACGAATTTTATATTAACAAAAAATTGTATATGAATTGGATTTCAGTTGACAAATTATTGGCATAAGAATTTCTAAATTTGTTAAAAAATAAAAAAGGATTCCAATGAGTTTCATATTTAAGAAAAATCGGCCAATTTATATCTGTTTCCTAAATATTTGGAAAGAAAATCCGGCCAAATTGTCTAAGAAAATAATTAAATTTGTTTTTTAAATATTCACATGTGTTTTTTCGAAATTGCCACTAACAGAAAGTCAAACTTTTTTTTTTGTCAAACTTACTATAAATGTATTTTTTCAACAACTTTTTCATATTACTATAGATTTGTGGAAAATAACTAATGCTCGAGAGTTACACGTAATATTAGTGGGACTGATTACTCAAAAACGTGTAAATCTTGATTTTTCTTAATCATTCTCTTGAAATATTTTTGATTGATATATTGGTAATATTGGTGAAATTTTGAACAATATTAAATTAAGAAGCTCAATCAATCACTATATTTGCTTTTTTTTTCCCCTCTCGTCTTCAACATTTTGTCAATGGCAAAGAGAAAGGCAACAAATGATGCATTTGAAATTCCGATAATTGTTAAGAGAAATTCCGATGATTGTTAAGATGAAACAAGGTTAACTTGATTGAGATCCGATGATTGTTAAGAATATAATTAAATCAGAATGTATTTTGTATTTTTCATGGTTAAAAGCATCTACCCTCGCATCCCGATTGCACTTTCATGCATTAATTTCACGGTTTTCAACTTTGATCAGCATATACTCGATCAGTTCATACAAGTAGTCGTCCTTATCGTTTTTCATCAAGTTCCTCCGATTGTCGATTTTCCGCCTTATTGCTTTGGGTATTTTCATTCTTAGAAACTTTGGTAGCACTAGATTCAAGATATTGAAAACCTCATTCAAATAGTTCTGATACAACATTCCCGAGAGGACGACCTTTCTATAACTTACATAAAAAGTTAAAAATTGAGGAGAAAATGAAAAAAATGTAAAAACATGTACAAGAAGCTGATATGCGACTAAAATGCGACAGACACGCGATTGTTCACAAAATTCTCTCATTCTCTACATATTCGCCGCTTTTCGCACTTCCTCAATTAACTTCATTTACTTGTCGCACGTATATTTTGTGATCGCACTTGCTCTGTTATCTTCGCCCATCTGTCGCATAGTTTAACCGCATATTTATTTTAACTTCGTCTATTTATTACATAGTTTATCGCATTATTATTTTGCAATTTATCAATGAACTTTATATGTCTATTGTATAATTATTTTATACTTTATCAAATTATTTTAGTCTGTCTCGCATAGTTTTTCACCTATCTTTTTTTCACTTAGTGAGACGAAAAAACTAATTTATTAATTTGCGGTGTAAAAAACTTAGGGCGTGCTTGTTTATGAAATATTTCATTCAAAATGAGTTATTTTAGTTAACTAGAGTTAATTTTGAAAAAATAGTATGGTTAATTGTTAGTGGGATTTTAAGAATATATTAAAATAATATTTAAAATAAAATAATTAAAGTTGATTTGATGTAAAAATAAGAGATAAATGATTGAAAATGATTAGAAATTATAGGTAGTTAAAATTATGTGAGTGGATGAATAGTGAATTAAAGTTGATGTGATGTGTAAGAATGATTGGTTTGTATTATTTAATTATATGAATAAATTAAAGATAATAGGATTGGGTTAAAGTTGAGTTAGATTTTGAGTATAAATTAGATTGAAAATTGAAATAATTTGTAAACAAGCATACCTTTAGCCCAAAGTAACTATTTCCTCATTTTTCCCCCATATTAAAAACTAAAAATATTATGTTGGAACTCCAAACCCAAACGGAGAAGGAAGTGTGGCGGCCTGGCGGGACGCCAGGGGAGAAGTTTTCTGCGACAAATGAGTCCACCATCATCGCTCCCTCTCAAATTCGCCTTCCTCATCTCCCTCTCTCTCGCCGGCGTCGCCTCATTCGCCACCACCACCGCCACTCCGTCCGGACGTCGAAAGCCCAGAACCGTATCATATCACTCTCTCTCCACAGCAGCCAAGCCCAAAGCCACAGTCTCGGATTTGCTATCCCTTCTGGGCCCACCTCAGCAGGCCAAGTCCGTCAACTCGCAGGTGGCCCGAGACCTCATGCCGTGCTTCAGATTCCTCGTCCCCTTTGACCAAAACCCAACTGCTCGCCGGAGCCAAAGAGTAGTTGATGAGCTGATTTTGTCGCCGCCCGAGCCTGTACTGGAGCTGGCTCGGCTCGCCCTTGACTCGGGCGCTGACCCTGGTGCTATTCACCGAGCTCTTGATCCGATAATTATCCCCGTGAGCCTTTTCGTTTCTATTTCTACCTTGTTTTCTTTTCTTCTACTACTTGTTCGTCTTTCTAATGATTGGGAATTGTGTGTGATTGAGATGTCTGAGAGAGGGTTATGAAATCATCTGAGAATGCAATAGATTGGCTCAGGTTAACTTTGCGGATCGTAAAAATATGTTATATTCTTCTTTTAACCATTCAAGTGTTGTGTCAAGTGGCAAGGTGCACTGAAGTTGCTTTTATAAGGGATTATTTGCAGTTAAAAAATTGAAATTATTATGAAGGAATCACTGAGGTGATCTGAAGCTAAGTATTTCAATGTTATAAGAAATAATCTTCTGAGTTTGCTTGGGTAAATGGCTGTCTTATAGTTATACAGATATGATATAAACTTCATTTTTGGTTAAAAAGCTAAAATAGGGTGTGGGTTTCAAACAAAACCTTATGGACTCATTTTTTATACCTAGCTAACTCAAATCATCTCCCTAAACTAAAATAGGACGTGGGTTCTACAGATTTCATATGAACTTCATTTTTTGGTTAAAAAACTAAAATAGGGTGTGAGTTTCAAACATAACTTTATACGGGACTCATTTTTAATACCTAGCTAACTCAAATCATCTCCCCAAACTCCAAGTCGTTAACTAGGTGTGGAATAAAGCCCCCATTTCGATAGTGGAATATGAAGCTAAGGATTTCAAATCCCTTAAGAATTGTGCGAATTGGGCCACCGTACAATAAATTTAGATGATTGTTACCTGTTTCTTTACTCAATTTAAAGGGTCACATTTTTATCTTCGTAGAATCTTTGAATTTCTTTCTCAAGCCCAAGCTCTCCTATTCAATTTCAACTATTGTACTTTGATTGTGGTAATAATTTCAATTTTTTGGATGTGTAAGGTAACATTTTTTGCTATGCACTGTGCTGTGCCAAACTGTGTGGCTCTCTGCAAGTGACATTTTGGTAGGAAATAGTTGCTTACTAATTGTTATGAAGTGTGTCTCAGGTATTATTGTCTTTAATTGTACAGGTACCTGATGTTGAAGGATCAAATGAGGATCGATGTGAACTTACACGAACTCCTTACGGGAGGCAATTTATCGATAAGGTATGGTTTTATTAATGGTGTTTATTTTTCTCATTTGTTCCAGTATCTTCTATGATGCAGCCTACCGTCTTTTTTTTTTCTTTTCTTTTGTAGGGACTGAATTCTTACCTAGAATTCCTATTTGAAACTATTGTTCAGCGTGGTCCCAGTGTTGGACTCGATGTGTCTCTGAGTCGCTATGACTTTTTCCATGGCCATCTTTTTCTTGCCAAGGATTCTGGAAGACTCGGCATTTTGTAAGTCAGGACATGAATAAGCATCCACTCACTGTTCTTTTTTAGTGGCTTTCAAGGTTAAAAAATAAACGGTGTCATTGTTAAAAACTGGTGGTAATTATAAGTGCATGAACAGGGATTTTCCTTTCCTATATTTGTTTAATCTGAATTGTGCATGAGCTCGTGAATCGTGACAAATGTTTGCAGGTTTCATGCTAAAGAGTACCCTGCCTATGACAAAGAAAATTTTCCATGCAATATGGGCTACTGTCAAGTAGGTAAGTTGATTGAAGAAACATTGTTGTAGAAGATTGAATCAACTCATTTTTGTTGGCCAATCAAGTGATGTGGCTTAAAATGCTGCTCGTATTGAATTATCAAAGGAACGGATATGTAAATTGAGATAAGAGTTTTGTGACTGTCACGGTTTAACTGTGCACTTGATGATTCTCAGGATCTAATGTTGCTTATGACAGTTCAATGAATTTAAGGAATATTCTCTGGCTTGCTCCATTGCCAAGTAATTCCACGAAAGCATGGCTGACTCCAGGTATTTGTTCTCATCTTGACCTTGCTGTGAATATTTTATTTAACGTTTATTTCTTGATTTAATAAGCATGTCCTGGTTTTCCTGGCAATTTCCTCTGAATTAGGGGATTTTCTGTAATACCAACATTGCGAAACTACTCATAACTGCTCATGCAAACAGTTTTTTTTTTTTTTCTTAAACCTGGAATAACTCATTATAAGATCTCCATGTTTATGGAATACATTTTAAGGGGCGTCAAACTTAGGTAAAGAGGGGCATCTGTTTTTCTTCTTCAAAATATCTAGTAGGATGTTAAAAAAGAAAATAAAAGAAAAGGATAACTTGAAGATGCTTGCAGAAGTTATAATGTTGAAGGGAAGAATTACAAGTGATCCTCTCATAAGCTTAAATCTTACTTTCTGTATTCTGTGCTGTTGCCTGTTCCAGTATTCCGCACCTATTTCGTGATATAGGAAGATGTTTATGCTAGAATCTTGAGTTTCTGAACTAAGAACTTCGTCTAAGTGCTATATATGGAACTAAAATAAGTTCCCCTGGTTTCTCAAAATACCTTAACGTTGTTTCTTCATTGAGACGAATAATTTGTCAAAAGCACAAATATACTTTTGAGTTTTCAATATAATTAGTTACTTAGCTTTCTTGAGATATTCTTGTTTGCAGGGGTACTAGTTGTCTTGGATGCGTCTCCTGAAGGAATAATTTACCAAGATCTCATACCTGAATACGTTAATTTTGCAAGGACACTATATGAAGGTTTTGATTACCATACTTGTTACTGGAGTCTGGAAGCTATTCATCTGTATCTCCATTCCTGAAAGAAAAAGAAAAAGGAAGAAAAAAGAGAATGAAAAAAATATTAAGTAAATTTAAAAAAAAAAAACATCATAACTGGAACCTTTTTTGTTTTGCCAGAGGATTTTGGGGAAGTTGTAGTTGATGTCAACTACCTCAATGTGGGAGCTGCAGTGCCTAATTTCCAAATTTTTATCTGCTGAGATATCTTCAAGGTACATATAACCATTTTTCAAATTTTGTCTGCTGAGATATCTTCAAGTACTTATAACCATTTTTTCTCTGCCATATATTATATTATATCTGGTTGAATCAAAGTGTTTGTGTTCCTATGTTTATTTGGTGGTCTCCCAAATGATTGTGCTGATTAGGTTAGGGGTGAGAGCATGTAATGTGAAAAGATATAGGCTTAAACCCTTCTTGGAATCAAAATTGGGTCAAACCATTGTGAAACCTGATATCGAATAAACTTAATGACCTTCATTCCACCATAGCTGCAAACAATTCTCTGACTAGCAGAAGATTCCAGCAATTGCAATTTTATTCTAACTCTAACTAACTCCTACTTCTCTGGAATCTTCTCAACCATTGTGAGGTCTCCCCAAAAGAGCTAATGTAACCAAAGCCTTTGATTATGAGTAGGATTATCATTTCTTCCAACACAAAACTTGTGACTTTTTATTATAAAAAAGAACCTATGACTTTGAATCACGGATATACTCTCTAAATTCAAAATGTCGCCTTTCCAAAGTGTTGTTTGGTTTCTTGGATATTGGATTTTTTTTTTCCTTTATTGTCCCCAAACTAGTGGATATTTGATCTCTACAGAATTTGAGAATATTTCTGGATAGCTTATGGGAAGCGATTTTCATATTCCAGAAACCCGGGATTGATAAAATGAAATGTGTTTGAGTTTTTTTATTTTTCCTTAATTCCAATTTTGCTGCTTTTTTCCACGAAAACCTTCTTGAGCTATTGCTTGTTCAGTGTCCATGTTATCCTCGCAGGACTATCCATTCTACATTTGCAGTTAAAATCTGTGATCACGTTTAGAGATCACCTAGAACTTGCAGAAGACTCGGATGGCAATCATACGAAATTTGGTGTCCATATAAGGAAATAAATTGTACCATTCTTTTATTCCATGACTCCTTTTAAGTCTTGGAGTACGTAATAATATTTATACCCTGTTATGTGTGATAAGATATCTTGCTCTTGTACTTAAGACGAGAGATATCTGGAATTTAATTTGAAGAGAAATTTCTGATATGTTGAAAATGTGATTTTTTAGGATATATTGGAACACTCGACTTCAGAAAAATAGGATTTTGTAGGATATATTGCAACACTTTGACTTCAGAAGAAAAAAGTTGGTATATCTTGAATGGCAGAAGCGATCTTTTCCCTTTAGTGCTTCACGCATACATGTAACTTCTGTTTTTCAAAAGCTTATACACATTTGACATTTGCAATTTGGTTATATTTTCACTTTCAGTAAACTGTTCTTAGGCATGCCTAAAAGTTAGAAAACTATACTCTTTAAATTAAAATGTCATATGTGTTTTTCACATTATAAACAGAAGTATGGTATTCCATTGCTTAAATATATATTTTTATTGAAAAAATATGATGGGTGAATTTGCCTAATAGTAAGACATACTTATATATTAATATAGCCTTGTTTGGTAATTAGCGGTTAGCGTTAGTGCATAGTGGATTGTAGTAGGGGTTTTAACCAGCTGTTAATATCCTCTGTTTGGACTAGTTGATGATATTATTATCAGTTTTGAAAGATATGTTTGGTAGAAGTAGCTAATTCATTTGAAAAATCATAATTGGTAAGATTGACTTGCTAAATTTGTTACACAAATAATTATAAAGTAATATTTATCATCTATATTTATATAATTATTTTTAAGTAAAAAAAATAAGTTGCATATTTTTAAATATGTTAAAATTTTTTGTACTTATTACAACTAAATTATAAATAAAAGAAATAATATAAAATAAGATGTATGAGCAACATAAGTACTGTTACAAAATTGAACTATAAAAGTACTTGTGTAATAATCGAAAATAAACAGTGAGAACGAATAAAGAAAGCCAGAAAGATAATCCTAAACGATGCTAATAGTGGTGTTTTCAACATGGTGTTTCAAACATAAAAATGTTGATTGGACTAAAAATTAGCGTTTTGAACATTTGACTTGTTTGACTTCTTCAATCCACTTAAAATGTCGTTTAATGAGTTAGCATTTTCAAAACAGTTAATGAAATCCGCTATCCGCTGATCGCCAAACAAGGCCAATAACTAATGCAATTCGGGGGTCAAAACAGGTAATGCAATCCGCTAACATCTAATAACTAACATTACCAAACAAGACCGTTGTTTGATGAAGAAATGTTTGAGCTAAAAAGAGAGGTTTGGACCTGTCATATCCTCTATTCACATTTGCTCCAAACATAGTTTTCAAGCTCCAAATATATATAAAAAGAGATTGTTGGAAAAATTAAAATTACAAAGTTCATTTTTTAATTAAACTGTTGGACTTACTAATTAAATAAATGTTTTAAACCTTTTTTTTTTTAGATTTTTATTATCAACTTCTTTTTAAATTTTCTTTTTAGTCATTCAATATATGCAACATTATCGTATTACCACAAAACGTAGTAAATATTTTGCAATATTTATCCGTATATCTTCAGGTTTACAATTATTTATTTTTATTATCCAATTATAACTAGTACACACCCGTGTGATTCACGGGATAACAATAGTAAGAATAATTTTATTATGGTTATGATGCAAGAAAAAATATTTACAATAATTTTATAAAAATGATTATTGTGTTAATATTTAAATTAATTTTATAAACTAAATATTGGGCAACGTGAATATAGTTTACTCATTTTTATTGTTATTTGTGATAAGTCACACAATTGAACAAGTTTTATATAAAAAACAAATATTATGTTGGGAAATCTTATTCGGGAGCGTTGATAAAATTCAATTTGGGACATAAAAGTCAACTGGTAGAAGTGCTAAATGAGTAGTATTTATTTTTTTCTAATTTTTTCTATAATTACACTGGATATACTGACAGTAATTTTAAATATTATTTATATTAAATATTTATTAAAAAATATATTATCTAAGTTAAATAAATTAAACTTATATATTACTTAAATTAAAGCATAAGTAGAATTTATGTTATTTTAATTGAATAAAAAAACCAAAAGGCATGATTCAATTTATTAAAAAAATGGGAGTATGTTTACTAGTACTAATCCATCTACACTCTAATTAGTATAATTTGATAATTTTTATATATTCTTCCAAACACTATGGAATAATACGAATTAAAAGAAAAAAAAACTCAACATAGTCTATTTTTTTAGTGTTGTTGTCTACGTTTTTTAGAGATTAATTTGATTTTGACAATGCATACATTGAAAAATCTATATATTTATATATACATATAGATTTAAGCATTAAAATAACTTTTACATTAAATTAAGTGGAAATCATTTTGCTCCCACTTATAATTTAAAGCTATTAATGTTTAAAAATATACCGTACTATTTTCTTCACATCTTATTTATATGAATTAATTAGTAAAATTGTTCTATACATTTTTGGTAAGACCAATATTTTTGTGAGTATTATTTATGGATAATGTTTGAACATGTTAAATTTCATGGTTCTTATTCTAAACAGGAATACAAAAATGTAATTATTTTATAATGGGTGAAATAACCATACAAATTATATATGAAACTATTATATAATTTAAAACTTAATAGAAGATAAATTAATATTAATATATAAAATTACTTTTATATTATTCAATATTCATTCTTTACTTTAATTAATACAATTCATGGCTACTCGCTCGAAAAAGAAAAAAGAAAATAGACAGAAAAACAACTAAATGGCAAATGATGTCTTAGGGAGTGATTGTTTATCAATCTTAAAAAAAAATAAAAATCAATCAATACTCAAATTTAACTCAACCTCACTATCCTCAATATTATCAATATAATCAAATAATATCAACCAATCATTCTTACATATCACATTCACTTTAGTTCACTATTCATTCAATCACGAACTCACAATCACTTCCAATCATTTTTCTCCTATTTTTATATCAAATCAACTTTAATTATTTTATTTTAAATATTATTTTAATATATCTACTAACAACTAACTATATTATATTTTTAAAATTAATTACAATTAACAAAAAAATAAAAAAATTAATTGAATCCATATCCAATCACCATCTAACCTTAACATGCGAGCAGTCAAAGGAATAATAAGTCAATCATAATCATAATCGTAATATAATAAACACAGGCTACAGGAGGTAGAAAAACAAACCTGAACAATCCTTCCTAACCTGAAACCCTAACATACTTCTCCTGCTCCAATGGTTTATCCTTCAGCCGGAACGGATTCTTGAAATCAAGCACTGATTTAGTGATTCAGTTGGAGGTGACAGAGAATCATGGGGGAAGCCGGGCAAGAGATGGTGGATTTCTCAGCGCTGGTTGGGCGCGCTACCGAGGAATCATATGTCTCGCTCAAGGAATTGGTGGAGAAATCGAAATCCTCAGAGTCTTTATCGGACTCGGAGAAGAAGATTATGATTTTGAAGTACATTGTCAAGACCCAGCAGCGAATGCTTCGCCTCAATGTCCTTGCCAAGTGGTGCCAGCAGGTGCGATTTTCACGTCTTATTCTTTTGTGGGTGCGGGTCAAGTTGTGAAATTTTTGTCTTCTTGGAGTTGATCTGTTCTCTTTAGAATGGGGAGACGGAAATTAGGAGTTGCGTGCTTGATTAGTGGAGCGTTTTAGGAAATTCATTAACGTTTGGGAATAGCTGATAACAGACATAGTCCGATAACTACTGTACATTAATTAGTTGATAATGATGTGATCTTATGATTTGAAGCACAATTTTGGAACTGTTCATTTAGACCCACGAGGCAGAGAGGCAGAGAGGCAGAGAGGTTTTGTTGTTTTACATGACAGACGGGGAAGATTATGTTTAAATATGGATTATATTTTGATAATTGGAGGTAATTGGGCACTTGAAAATGGAAAGGTGTAATAAGTGGACAATATGTAAATCCATCACGATCATCACCTCTGGGATTTGGCCTTATGGGATGGGTAAATAAACTAGGCTACCTGATGATATAAACCGTAAAAAACTGATTGAAATGAGAAAGAACGAGTTGAGGTAGCGCTTGGAAACCATTTCATGCTTTCATATTATTAGATGTTTTTTTTCTAAAAAACTACAAAGCGCTTGGAAACCATTTCATGCTTTCATATTATTAGATGTTTTTTTTTTCTAAAAAACTACACCACTCATTTGTCGCATCCCCTCCTTAAGTAAAACTAAATCATTACTACTTGTTTCTCCATACAATTTGTTGTTCATCCAGTCACGTCTTTCTATCGCCACACCTCATTCTATTAGTTTTAGATTACATCAATTTTAATCAAGACAATCAATCAACTTTCCAAATCATTCCTTAATCACCATTTTTTCCCAAACTTACTCTAGAGTTTTTTTTTTTTCAATGATTGCAAATCCAATTGCACCTTGAGTGTATGGGAATGGAAGGATAACTTATGATTTCACATTTCTCTCTCTCTCTCTCTCTCTCTCTCTCTCTCTCTATGCAGTTATGCACACACACAAAAAGTTTGAAACCAATGCATCAACTTGACTGTTGTGCCACCGTATTACTGATATAAGTTTTCTTCTTTTGGCAAAGTGTTTCTAGGATTGTTGGCGGTGTTACAACATTTGTTTTCTCTGCATATAACTTTATATCCTTGTCGCCTTTTGACTTTTCAAAAGTATGTTAAGGCACTTTTGACCTTACTTTATACTTTCCATAGCGTTTCATTTGGACATTGGAGTTGTTTGAAAGAACCTTGCTCGACTTCAAGTTTTGAACGTATATTGAAAGAAGAGTTCATCAACTTTCTTGTTGTAACTAAGAAAAACTTATTTGTTGCTTGGTCTCCTTTTTTTTTTTGCCATTTTTCTGTTCAAACTGCAGCTGTGATGAAAAAAATTTATAGCAATCTTTTTGTATGCTGTTATATATTAATTTCTTCATTTTGTATATAAGAAGAATCCTTGCTGGTATAAGGTTTTGGGGTCATGTGTGCTATTTCTTCTTTGTTGAACAGATTTTGTGCCTTCCATATTTAATGTTTCCTACTTTAATTGCAGGTTCCTTTGATACAATACTGTCAACAACTTGCATCAACTCTATCAAGTCATGACACTTGCTTCACTCAAGCTGCAGATTCCATGTTTTTTATGCATGAAGGGCTACAACAGGCTCGTGCTCCTATTTATGATGTCCCATCTGCCATTGAGGTACTTCTTGGTGGAACTTATCAGCGTTTACCAAAATGCATAGAAGATGTTGGCACACAGAGCACACTGAATGAGGATCAGCAAGGTCCAGCATTGAAGAAACTCGAGATACTTGTTAGATCAAAGTTGCTTGAGATTGCACTTCCAAAGGAAATTACTGAAATAAAAGTTTCTGATGGTGTTGTTTTGCTCCGAGTTGATGGGGAATTCAAAGTTCTTGTCACACTTGGTTATCGAGGTCACTTGTCGATGTGGAGAATTTTACATTTGGAGTTGCTTGTTGGTGAGAGAAGTGGGCCCGTGAAGCTGGAAGAATCACGAAGACATGCTCTTGGAGATGATTTGGAACGTAGAATGGCTGCCTCAGATAACCCATTCACGACGATGTATTCCATTCTTCATGAGCTCTGTGTTGCTCTTGTTATGGATACTGTTATAAGACAAGTGCAAGCACTCCGACAGGGTAGATGGAGAGACGCAATTCGTTTTGAACTTATATCTGATGGTACTATTGGCCATGGAACAAGCATTGCATCCACCCATGGCACTCAAGATGTAGAAATTGATTCAACTGGCCTAAGGACTCCTGGAGTGAAAGTGATGTACTGGATAGATCTGGAAAAAAGCACAGGAACGCCTGACGTGGGGGCATCTCCATTCTTAAAGCTGGAGCCAGGTCTGGATTTGCAGATTAAGTGTTTGCATAGCACATTTGTAATTGATCCGCAATCTGGCAAGGAGGCAGAGTTTAACCTAGATCTAAGTTGCATTGACGTTGAGATGTTACTGCTCAGAGCCATTGGCTGTAATCGATACACGCGCCTGCTTGAGATTTACAAGGAAGTCGAGAAGAATGGACAGATCAATAGGACTTCTGGTGATGTCCAACTTCAATTTTTTTTGGATGATTCCGAAAAGGTATCAAAATTATGCAGATATTTCCTTTTAACACTGATATTATACTTTTTTGTCCTCTGGTGACTAAGATTTATGTCATGTCATATAATATATATTGACGTCTGCTACTGTTTTTTCCCCTTTTTGTCCCTATAAGAAAAAACAGATTGATAATGCAGTTGATTTACAAAAGCATGGCGGCCAGGAAATCCTGCTCGTGCGTGCCTATGGTTCTTCATTTTTCACTCTTGGAATCGGCATAAGGTTTTCTTTAAGATCTATTTTTCTTTTGGCAATTTAGACAGTACATCTGTAGTTTTTTATGTATCCAGTCTTTAACAAGTACCAGTTGCACGATGGATTATTTTCATGTGTAAACATTGGAAATTCTTTGATGAACATTATATGTGGTACTTTCTAGTTCGTACCTATATTACAGTGTTATTAATGGCGGATGGCGGTAAATGGCGGCAGACCGAAATCCCGCCATAGTGGCTGCCATGGCGGCCTACGGCAGCGCCATAACTGGACATCCTTCACAAATTTAGCATGGATGTTTTGGCAGAAATCTGCCACGCCATACCGCCGTGGCTGCGATTATTAAGTTTTTGGGCAGTTTGAAGCCTCGGCTACTGGAGGTAGTTATATGACTTCTGCTATGGATGCAAGCCGGCAGAGTATTATATAAACTCTGTAGGGCGAGCGGGATGAGCACTGTATAAAATCTTTAGGACGAGTAGGGATGGTTGCTGGAGGGAGACTCTGACACTGTTTAGGAAATATATGACATGGGTGAAGTTTCTTTATAGTCATGATCTTTCCTTGTGAAAGAAAGGGGCAGGGGTGGTTGCTTCAATGTCGAATGGAAAAGGAATATAGAGGAAAAACAAAAAAAACCTTTCCAGATCAAAACTGCTTCAGTAAATTTCATGCAGGATGTTATTGCCATCCGGAAAATTCTGCAATTAATAGAATTCTTGAAAAGATGATGGGAGGTTTTGTCAAACTGTTTTCTGGTTGTACTATTTGTTTTTGATAAAGTTTAGATGTGCCATTTGTCATTTGGTACTCTCTGCATGATGTTAATCACCTAATAGGAATAGGAGATTATTTGGACTTCGAAGACTACTGTGCCTTCACGTGTTTGCATGTGTTTGTCTATTTCTTGTCTTATTGGAGTTCAACAAGTATGGGTTTTTCTATTTTCTCATTTTCCTGCACTAACTATTGGGAAACAATTCTGCCTTTTACTGGTTAAGCACTTGCCACTTATGGCTTATGCCTACTTGTTTGTACCATTTTTCTAGCGCCTGGAGAGATGATATCCTTGGCAGAAGAATCAAATTGTTACCAACCAATCGGTTTTTAGTAGAATCAGAAGTTATATGGATATACCTGTCATGTAAATTGTTGAAAATTAATATATATATGTATGTATGTATGTATTTGTATGTAGCTTGTACGGCAGCTTAAAGATATGTATGAACGTGTGTTTGGTTTCTGGCATATGATGGCTTAATCAGAGGTTATGGAACATATTAATTTTTACTATTTCCATTTAGTATATCACGTGTCCGTGAGAGAAATAATAGTTGCACAAATTCAAATTTACTACAGAATTATTAGATGTTATTTAAAAAAAAAAAATTGAAAGTTTTGTTGATGCAAATCTCACAGTATACGTAAATCAAATAGCTGGAAGGACTTGATCGATATTGCTATTCATGGTGACTATGGCAGTTTCAGGGGAGCTTTTAGTGGTCACTAGAACTGAAGGCTATGTTCTTTTTACCTTGTTGCTATTGGTGGTGACTGTAGCAGTTTCAGGGGAGTTTTTAGTGGTCACTAGAACTGAAGGCTATGTTCTTTTTACCTTGCAGGAATGGTCGTTTTCTTCTTCGCTCTTCCAAAAATATTATTTCGTCAAAGGCTTTGCTTGAGTGTGAAGAAGCACTGAACCAGGGAAGCATAACTGCTGCCAAGGCATTTGTTAACTTAAGGAGAAATAGTATTTTGCATTTATTCGCACGCATTGGACGGTTCTTGGGTCTTGAGGTATGTATAAATTTTTGTTCTGAAGTTAGGGATTTCTGTTGCAGCTTCAATTACTATGTTCCTTGGCTGTAAATGTTATTTAAGTTATGTTTTTCTGTATTTTGAGGTGCCTGTTCAATGAAGATTTTATCTATTGTTTAGTCTCCATGGATTTGTCAAGATAAAACACATGATCTACATAGTTGCCTAAATGCACTATTCCTGTTATAGATCCCTAATGTGTAAATTCATGAACAACACGGCATCTACTATTGTGATGCTGCTATTTGAACTGAACTGCTGCAAAAGCCACTTCTAACTTTTGACAAACCGTGGGTCAGTGTGTCTAGACAGTTAATCCGAATTATAAGTTTCTGTAACGAGGGCAAAACATTATATGAATGGTGCTTTTTCTTTGGAAGAGGACAAAGTATTAGTTACCTACTGCAACTAAATAGTCATGCTCACATTTTCTTGTAGGTATTCGAACATGGATTTATGCCGGCGAAACTGCCTAAGAACATTTTAGATGATTCAAATTCATTGATCATGGGATTCCCAGAGTGTGGGAGCTCTTATTTCTTGTTGATGCAGCTCGACAAGGAATTCAGACCTTGTCCAAAGTTAGTAGAAGCCCAAGTAGATTCCTCGGGAAAAGCTGAACCTTTTGGTGACGTGAGCACAGCGAGTCGAGTTAAAGATTTGGACATTAGTTATATGCACATGTGTCAAGATGAAATTAATATGAGTCTTCTTGACTGCACGATATCATCTAATTTCAATGATGGTAATGCTAATGAGATTTGTGGTCATGGTCCTCCGTCTAAGTTCAGCTTCGAATGTTCAATGCTTTCTTCTCATATGCCCAAAAGTTTCTCATCTATCGTAGATGAGGCATTTGAGCTTGAGAAAGGGTCAAATGTACAGAGCATCACTTCTATATCTGGCCTGCCCTCTGCGTCCCAATTTGGCTTGGATACTATGAATTATAATGACACCAAACGTTCAATATCATCCCCAGACTGGGAAGGAGCACCTACATCACAAAATGCTGTGGGCAATTTCAAGAGCTCATCAAAATCTGGTTCCACAAGCTCACTTGTCACGACTTCGGTGAAAAATCAAGCTGTGACGAAATTGACAGCTTCAAAGTCAGATCAGGATTTGTCAGCTCTCAAATCTCCTCATTCTAGTGCCTTTGGTTCTCGTGGTATATTGGACAAGGATCAGCTAATTGTATCTGGGGTTTCCTCTGCTAGGTTCTTCTCTCCACCCCGTCACACAGGTCGTCCGGTTTCAACAGTGAGTGTAAATGGTAATGAATCTAACGACTGGGTTGCTTCTCCCATATTTAAGAAGCCAATCTTTGTTATTTTTCTTGCTTTGTTTTTAAATTGCATTAACAGGCTCATTTACCCTTGATCTTGTTTTGATGTGCGTGCCCCCTATATGCTAGCTTTGACACTTGATTCTGCTGTTCCTGAGAACTCGAATCAAGAAAGTGTGCCTCAAAATGACGGCTCGTCCCGAAAACGTAGTGTGTCAGATATGATGAAATCACTTCCTTCACTCCATTGTCTGGAAGTCAATGATGCATCGAATAAGAGAAGGAAAATCCAAAGAGTGCCAAATGCTCAGCGTCCTCCTACACAGTCTCTCCTTTCTTGCGACCATCCTAGTAAAACTGAAGGGTACAATTTTGCCGATCTTATAGCTGAAGCAAACAAGGGAAATGCACCCCCAAGTATTTATGTATCTACTCTTCTTCACATAGTCAGACATTGCTCACTATGTATAAAACATGCCCGGTTGATTAGTCAGATGGAGGCACTTGACATCCCCTTTGTTGAAGAAGTGGGTCTCAGAAGTGCATCCTCAAACTTGTGGTTCCGCTTGCCTTTATCAAGAGGTGACACATGGCAACATGTATGTTTGAGACTGGGAAGGCCTGGAAGCTTGTATTGGGATGTGAAAATTATTGACCCACACTATAAAGACTTGTGGGAACTTCAAAAAGGGTGCAATACTACACCTTGGGGTTCTGGTGTACGAATAGCTAATACAGCTGATGTGGATTCTCACATTCATTATGATTCTGAAGGTGTTGTATTGAGTTATTATTCTGTGGAGGCCGACAGTATTAAGATGTTAGTCGCGGATATACAAAGGCTTTCCAATGCCAGAACTTTTGCCCTGAAAATGCGTAAACTACTTGGGCCAAGGACTGATGAGAAACCGGATGAGAGTGATGCCTGCTTAGAGAGCAAATCTCCTGCTGGATTGAAAACTGTAGCGGAGGGCTCTGAAAAGTTCTCTGGGCAGATGAGAAAAGCTTTTAGAATTGAAGCTGTTGGTCTGATGAGTTTGTGGTTCAGTTTTGGTTCAGGGGTTCTTGCTCGCTTTGTTGTTGAGTGGGAGTCTGGTAAAGAGGGCTGCAGAATGCATGTTACTCCTGACCAACTTTGGCCCCATACTAAGGTCAGTTATAACCTTTTGTACAAATTATTACTCTCTGGTGTGCGTATTATTTTATCTTCTTTGGCATCTCAACAGCTTCCTGCCTCACCCCACTTCTCGTCACTAAATGAAGTGTCTTTTAATTTTGGCTGCAATTAGATATAAGTTCTTTTTTTAAAAAAAAAAAAACAAATTGTCTTATTTATTTTTTATTTTATATTTGTGTTAGTGGATTTAAAATAAAAAAGTGGGGTGAACAGTAAATGAGATGGATTTTGTTTTCATTTTTTGTTTCAACGAGATAAATTTTACTAAACCAGAGGAAACTGAAACTGTCTTATAAAAGCAGCAGTCTTCCTTTTGTTGTTATATTTCAAATAATAAAAGCTTAAACATGGAAAAATTGACTGCAAAATAAATTAAGCTAAAAAGGATGACTCATACTGTTTTGGAGCAGAGCTAATTGTGGAGATATTTGCATTACACGTGATGCTCTGTTTTATTTATCTTCATATTAATAGAATTACCATTTCGATGATTATGTTAGACTCCAGAGCATTAAATGGGAAGTGGTTTTATCTTCCATCAGAAATAATAGCCTCTCGATCTTAACAATTTCAAATGTGCAAGTACTCTTCTAATAATTTTCTGTTCACCTATGGCTTATATACTAAAAGTTGGTAATATCCTAGATCTCCCCAGGATTACTGTATGAAATAAAACGGGAAGTATGATTAATGACTCGTCTGATATGATTAGATATACATGTTAAACATGTGGTGGAGAGAGTAGAATCGTGCCCCGTATAGCGGGAATGAATTTCATGTAACACATGGCATAATCAAATCCATTCCACTCGAAAATCATTGTTCATTTCTGTTGTTTGTTTTTGCTCTGTGCCCAAATATTTTTTTTGCAGATAACAGTTTCTGTAAACAAGTATATACACCTATTAACGTTTTGTCTCGTCAAACAGTTTCTCGAAGAGTTCATCAATGGAGGTGAAGTAGCATCGCTTTTGGATTGCATCCGACTGACTGCTGGGCCGTTGCACGCTCTTGCTGCTGCTACCCGGCCTGCACGAGCTGCCCCAGTTTCTGGAGTTCCCGGCATACCAGCCGCTGTTTCTTCTACTCTAAAGCAGAACGGAAATTTGCCCACACAGAGCCTGACAAGCAACTCCAACACAAATCATAATCAACCTTCATCTGGTCCTCCTGGTGGAAATCCTACGGCCCCAACACCATCAGGCCCCATTGGAAGTCACAACACAGCAGCCGTGTTAGCAGCAGCTGCAGCAGCTGCCGCAGCTGCTGGTAGAGGGGGCCCAGGCATTGTTCCCAGTTCATTGCTACCTATTGATGTTTCTGTAGTGCTTAGAGGCCCATATTGGATTCGAATCATATACCGCAAAAACTTTGCAGTTGACATGCGGTGTTTTGCTGGGGATCAAGTCTGGTTGCAACCAGCTACGCCACCGAAAGTCGGGCCTCCAGTTGGAGGATCACTTCCTTGTCCACAATTCCGGCCTTTTATCATGGAGCACGTTGCACAAGAACTGAACGGCATAGATTCTAATTTCCCAGCAATGTCGAGTTCGACTCCTCCACAGCTACCAGGTGCTGCTGGAAACAGAGCAAACCCGAGTACTGGTGCAATATCTCGTCCAGGAATCGCAATAGCTCCTTTGAATCGCAATAGCTCCTCCAATTTGCCTGTGGTTAACCCGTTACGTAGACCACCAGGTTCCGGTGTACCAGCACATGTTAGGGGAGAGCTTAATACTGCTATAATTGGACTTGGGGATGATGGAGGCTATGGTGGTGGATGGGTTCCACTCGTGGCGCTTAAGAAGGTCCTTAGAGGTATTCTGAAGTATCTGGGAGTGCTCTGGCTGTTTGCACAATTACCAGATCTTTTGAAAGAGATCCTAGGATCGATTTTGAAGGACAACGAAGGTGCTTTATTGAATTTGGATCAGGAGCAACCGGCCTTGCGCTTCTTTGTTGGGTAAGACTATGAGTTGACATTCTTTTGTGCATTTCCAGATCCATATCACTTTTTTGTTACTACCAATACGAGAACCATGGAAAAAAGATTCATGTTGGTAATGGATGACATATCTTACAGAGCTTAGAATATATATTGTGGATGACTTGTATGCAATAATTCTAATTGGTTTTATACTCTTCTCATCATCAGAACCCTGACGGGCGTTTTTCTGTATTAGAATGCTCCTCATCTTTCTAAGGAATATATTTCTAAGGAATATATTATTATCATTATTATAATAATCTTCTGCTTAACTTTCTGCAGACATGTATAGTTTGCCACAAGCTCGTCTGCAGAAAATATTGCGATTTTACTGCAAGCTACTGTATATGTTAAGAATTCTAGTTTCAGATTAGTTAATATGATTTTAGATAGTAAGAAGATTTTTTTTTTTTAAAAGCAAAGTTAATTCACAAATCAAGTCCACATAATATTTAGTTTCTTGCTGTTCATCTCGTCATTTCAAGACCTGGCTTCACTGTCGGATTGATGATAAGTGATGTGCTGCATTCTTGCCCTTTATGTGTGTGCATACACAAACTTAGAGTGGGAGAGATGCAGCTGTTATTTTCTGTGCAGTCCTACCTTTATGTGTTTAAATTCTACAACACGTTATCAGCTTTTAACAAATGTTCGAAATCCTTCTGCAGAGGCTACGTGTTTGCTGTTAGCGTCCACAGAGTCCAACTCCTACTTCAAGTCCTCAGCGTAAAAAGATTTCACCACTCCCAACAGCAGCAACAAAACTCAGGAACCGCCCAAGAGGAATTAACTCAATCAGAAATCGGGGAGATTTGCGACTACTTCAGTCGACGAGTCGCATCAGAGCCCTACGATGCTTCCCGCGTCGCTTCCTTTATTACCCTTTTGACCTTACCAATTTCCGTACTAAGAGAATTTCTAAAACTCATAGCATGGAAGAAAGGATTAGGTCACGGTCAAGGAGTCGATGCAGCAGCCCCCACACAGAAATCCCGAATTGAGCTTTGCCTCGAGAGCCACGGGGGATTCAGCAGGGAAGGAAAGCCCGAGAGCGCGCCCGTTGTGTCAAAGAGCAATATTCACTATGATAGGGCCCACAACTCGGTTGACTTTGCGTTGACTGTGGTTCTTGACCCGGCCCACATTCCCCATGTGAATGCGGCTGGTGGTGCTGCTTGGCTGCCTTATTGTGTTTCGGTTAGATTAAGGTATTCGTTCGGTGAAAGTCCAGTTGTGTCCTTTATTGGAATGGAGGGAAGCCATGGGACCCGCGCATGCTGGCCGCGAGTCGAGGATTGGGACAAATGCAAGCAGAGAGTGGGTAGGGCAGTGGAGGTTAATGGGTCTTCGAGTGGGGATACTAATCAGGGAAGGCTGAGGGTTGTTGCTGATAGTGTGCAGAGGACTTTACAGGCGTGCCTTCAGGGTTTAAGAGATGGAATATGATGATTGGTGGTTTAATGCTGTTCTGTTACGAAGATGAGAAGACTTGAGTAAAAGGAGAAAAGGGAAGATTTTGATTTTGAAATTTTTGATCGATTGCTGACGGGTTTAGGTTGGGTTTGAATAGGTGTAACGTGTTAGCAAACAGCGTCTTTTTTGTATATGGGAGGCGTTTGTTATAGTTGGGTTTGCGGGTGGTTGTACAGTATGTGTAGTTCATAGTTGCTTTGTATAAATTGATATGTTTTGAGTGTTTTTGTATTTCAAGACTGCTGCGTTCTACAGGAAACTGGGTGTTTCAAGTTCCTATATCAAACCTGTGGCCTACGGTTGGGGACAAAAANGGACAAAAAAAAAACAAAAAAAAAAACAAAAGATAAATGGGCCAGCTGTTGGCATTTTGTATTTATTTTTAAATTTTCTGGTCTTGTTCTTTTCTCATGTGGCCTGATTATTGGGAGTTTGAGATTTCGTGTATTTTGTGCTGTCAAAAAGTATTAAGTCCTAGATGTTTGTTCATTGTTTGGCATTCAGAGTTTAAGCTTACATCTATCAAGAAGATAAATTTTGTTGGAAGTAAGAGCATCTCCAATGCAACTTTTGACATTATAAAAAGTCATCCATATCATCAACTTTTGAAAGTGTCTATTTTTTTCTTCAATGCATCTTGTCATGCACTCTTTCATTATGAGGTTGATGTCATTTAATGTTGACAATGTTGAGCTCACTTTCTAATATCTAACACCATGTTAAACATGATGACTCATCAATTTACTTTATATTTGTTTTGATTTATTTTTTTTTTTTTGTATCAATGAATTATTTAATTGGTCCACCTATACAAATAACTTTTTATCAAATTGATGCATTGGAGATACTAGTTTCATTGAAATTTCTAGTCTTTTAATATTATTCCAATGTGGATTAACATTACAATTACTAATTGACATGTGTTAAAAATAATGGTCTTTCACACTTATAGCATTGGAGATGCTCTAAAGCATGTTGAAGCATTGGAATTTTGTTCAATTTTGCCGCTCAGAAGAGCACTGTTGACAGTTTCCATGGGAGAAGATCAAACTTTTGGCAGCATTATCTGTTGACATCAAGTCAAATGTAATATTGTCCCCTAACAATGTAGACAAAGCAAATGATTGATTTGAAATGTGTGAATTCGCAGTGATATATTTGCTTGAAATGCTGGGTTGTAACAGATAAAATTCACGAGACGAGGATGCCCAAATTGAACATCGATCGATTGTAGTATTAAAGCAACATCAGTCATTACATCTCAAGGTTGCAATTATTTCCTTCGATGTGCTTTGGTGTTCAATAGAACAATGTTAGAAGCTTGTAACTTTAGCCAAGTTGTGGCCTAGGTCACACATTTCATTATACCCCGCACCTTTTCATATCTTAGAATTTGACAAGGTAAAACTGCAAACATGTATATTCGTAACTACACAAGTCACCACTCTTTTGCTTTGGAATTTCATCAAGGGTGATATTTTGAGGGATACTTGTTTATTATACACAAGTTTGATGATAGTGTATAGAAACCTCGTGGTTTCTCCAAATTCTTCATGCCGAGGTGCATCTATTACTCGACTGCTTGCACCATATGACAATTAGATCCACGAAATAGGAAGTCAGGTCAATATAACAAGACACATAATATATACAACTAATAACACAAGATTCATCACATTTTTTTTTATTTTTTTATTTTTTAAATAAGCACGTAGCTTTATCTCAAGCAAAACCAAACTTAGTTACATAATCACTTACATGCGTAATTTATCACGTAGCTTTATCGTCACAACACAAGAAGCCTATGTGCATAAACACATCTCTTTTCCTTTCAAGATACCCTGATAAGATCATACACAAATCATAAATTATCATGCACTCAAGCAGCTCTCCCATTTTCCGTATTTTGAGCTGAAACTTCCACCACCACTTTGCTGAGCATATTCAGATATAACGGCACGGGCACAACTATCCCAAGTCCTTGCTATCTCCCCAAGTGACATTGGTTGGGCCAGGGACCGAAGGGAAATGCAAAATCTTGATTTCGCCTTTATGGACAGATCTTCATATTCCTTGCTGTTGATGCAAAATATAGTGCTACTATTTTATCAGCACATTCATATAAGGATGTGGGAAAAAAGAAAAGAAGAATTAAAATCCACAGAGGAAAAACACAAAGGTGGCAGAAGAGAGCATATATATAGGCCAGCCAGAATGTCGATTGAAAGCAGAAAAGCAAACCCACACCGATTAATATAGCTGTGTTTCATAGGCTATGTTGTTGTTGTTGTTGTTGTTTCATAGACTTGATCGACATTAGCAAATAATTTCTACTGAGAGAAAGTAAAATGTTAATTATTTTTGTACAAGATACTCATTCCAACTCTCATGTGCAACTAACGGGAAACACTAAACTTGATAGAGATGGACTTGAGCATGTAAGGCAAAATATTTGCACATTATTTGTCCGAAAATGGTAATTTGAAAGAGAACTTTGACATTGGAAGTTTAGTCATTGGATGTTTAGTGATTGTACATTTTCATGGTGAGGTTATGTGTAAAACAACACATTTGTGCCATACATGTATTATGTCAATGTGAATGTCACCCCTTCTGTTCATGTAGCATAAGCTCATTATTTCCCCTGGAATTTCATCATAATGATTTTCAAATTTCAATAATTTAGTAGTGGAGTGAACCACTGTGTGCCCTATGAATTATAGGTGAGAAACCCATTTTAAATGAGGTATGATAAGGACTACAAAGATAAACATCAATCACCAGAACACTCACCTGACTTCAACTGGAAACTTATCCAAAAGTATAGGAGAGCAATTTGGATAATTGTTGGGAATGAGCAATCTCAGAGGTTGAATTGGAGACTGCAATGTTGTGAAAGACAAGAAGTGAATATGGGGAAAAAGAGAAAGGCACAAATAACATAAGGGATTCAAATCTCACCATTTGCGCTGACGCATACTGTGATTTCAGATTTGGGCTAAGACCGACAGCCGTGAAAGAGCACTTCACAATGGTACCTTCTCCATCCTCACCAGCAGCAGCAACTGCAGTGGGATCAACATCATCTTCACTGATGTATACAACAGTGTCTATAAGTCTTTGATTAATTTCCCGCAATTCTTCTTCAAGTGCATGGTTTGCCTGTAAACAATTACCAATTATCATCATATTCAAAACTATGCATTCTGATCTGAATGAATACGAGAACTGAACTTTGCACTGACATTACTAACTACTCAATTAAGAATTTGATGTAACACACTAACGATTCCATGTGAAATCATTAATAGAAAACTCAAGTTCATAACCAAAAGGTCTTGCTAAAAGCTACATCATCAACTTATAATAGAATTAACCAAGGGCTCTCTGCTTATAGCCCATCAATACAAAGGATTCAAAATTTGAGCCATCTCTAAATGATAATTAACTAACCCACTTATTAAACACACACATAAACTAATAGCTTTTGCATTAGAATAATACAGGATGGCAAAGACATAAGGAATTTTAAAACCCAAGCAACTTTTTATATCGCTAGCACACTGTGATTTCTTCCATCCTCATACTCTCTGTCACTTTATTTTCATTGATAACAATATGCAAATACAGTATGATTATGTTAATGAACAATGCATTAGTTTAGAAACTCCTTTGTAAGCCCTTTTGCTAATATCAGACCTGTTTTCACTTTAAATCAGTTACTTAAAACAGCCGAAAGAATTAGCCAAGTGCCTTAGAACTTCTGCAGAAGACCTACATCTAATACAAATGTTGGATCCAAATTGGTTATGGTTAGCTTCCTGTTGTAATGAACCTATCTCCTATTCCAATACTCTGTACACAATTACCTCACTGAAACATTTTAGGCTACGTTGCTTGTAATCTGATAGGTCAATATTCCTCTATCTAGTTTGCATAAATGAGCCCTCTAGAAAATAACTACCCAACATCATCAGAAATATGTATTGAGAAATATATATAGATGCACATATATATTATACACGCATATGAGTGTATGTTTTGCTAAGGAGGTCATCCAATGGATAAAAAACAGTGCATAAGTCCACCAGACTTTCCATAAGAAATATGTATTGAGAAATATATATAGATGCATGTATATATTATACTACATGCTTGAGAAACTTTAGTACTTTTTTGCAGCATTCACTTTAGGTGATCCTGCACCATTACTGTATGTTTATGTTCATGTTACACCATTAAACAAAATCATGAAGCATGTTGAAGTATATATACATATTTATGTATGTACAGAATTTTGTATTAAATGACCAGTCACATGAGAAAATGCTATGTATCCCACTTTCAATTGCCTTCATCCATAATAGCAGTCTCTCTTCAGTAGCTTTTGTTCCATTAGAAGAAAATGTAATGTAAACACAAGAAGTACCTTAATTCGAGGCCTTTTGACGCTTGATGCACCAGTGGACTCTCCGTCAGATTCATTACCAGTTAAATGCCTAACACTATCAGTCACGCTTCCAGTAGACGAGACAACATTAGATGGCACTGCACTAGTATAACGTCTCATTTTCTTGGTACCAGTGGGCCCATCTTGGGTGAAAAAATTTCTCGCCTGCAACCGACATTTAGTCATAGCAACTAAATCTTCACCTACTGCAGCACGAGAACCATTTCCTGGAGCAGATCCAGCAATTCTGTCAACCATGCTGACAACTGAGCTAATATCACTAACTGAGGCACTCAATGCCTTAGGAGACATAGATTTGATCTGTCCAAAGGGGAGAGATAAGTACAGTAAGGTCTATTGAGATAAATATCAGGCTCAAAATTATTTATTGTGCCACATCATGAGGAAATGCAACTTACCACTTTAATTAACCGTTCAAGTGGCTGTTCAACAACATTAGAGTTTCCTGACACAATGGTTGATACAACACCATGAGTGCCTTCAGGACTTGTAAATTCTGCAAGCAAAGGTGAAGCTGATATCCCAGGTGTAGCAATATCAACCGATTGGTTTGGTACTGATGCTGCAGTAGCCGGATGTTGCACAGAATGTCCAGCATTTGACAAAGACGATCCGAAATTCACTTTCTCAGAATCCCCCGGCATAGGGGATGGAGCCATGGAAGTTGAAGGAGATGGGACAATAAATGGTGAATTTGCAGAATGCAACGGAGTTCCACCTTTGGAGTGCGATGTCGGATCAATTTGAGGAGACGGTTGGTGACTGATCTGCGGGGATGTCGCCTGTAGACCCTGCTGTGAGGAAATAGAGAATGGGGCTCCAGATTTCATTTGTTGGTGAATATATGATTGCCGTTGGCCAGAGGAACTATGCTG